TTGAATGGTTTCAGAGCATTGGCCCAGAAAAAACTGAAATTTGTGATGAGGGTCATCACAAAATATTGTGAAAAACAATATAGTTTTAGTAGGATTTGTTAAGGCGGTTATATGTTTAACAAGTTTTCATTATTAATAACAATGTTTTCTACAACCGTTTTTTTTCTCTTTGCTATTGAAGTTTTCGTTCTTTTAATTAACAAATCATAAAATGCTTTCGAACCTTCAGTTTTTTAAGCAATGTTGACTTGTCTTGATAGTAAAAGGAGGGTGAAGTTATAAACACTGTTGAGACTATTATGTTATACATTGTAATGCAGAAAATCAATATAAATATATATGTTTACATGAAGTCACAACATATTACATAAAGTGCATTTTCTGAAGAAAAAAAACAATAAAAACAAAAAAACTCACCACTAATAGTTATCTTATTATCGTGCATTAAAATTAATGGTCATATGACAAAACGTTATAGATAAACATACAATTCTACGTAGTCGAGGATAACATAAAACAAATATTGACCTTTACTTAATTTGAAAATTCTAGTTCCTAAGTGTCAAAATTTATGACACCTAGGTGAGGCACGTATGCTATGATTTTGAAAAAGATGACGTCACGTCAATTATGACATTATAATAGCCTCCATTAAACCCGCAGAACCTCGAAGTGGTGAAAGTTCGAAGAAAACAGTTGTGGATTTTGTTTTTGATGTTTCTACGTATTTAAATAATATAAATATTGGATGCTAAATTACCTACACAGATGAGAATTTATTTAATTTTTCCAAACTAGTATACATCCCAAATAAAGCGGTCAGTTTTCGGGCAACCACCGATGACAAATACTCTCTTTGACGTATGAAGGCAGACATCCAGCTAGTGAGAAGTTCGAGAATGAAATTGATGAGGTCTGGGAGAGCCACCAACAGTCCACCCCGTACCATATAATAACAGTACTGGAGACATTTGAAATGTAATTATACAGGAAACCGGATCTAAATTGCTGAGTAAAGCTTGCTTTTGAAATCTCAATGCAGACTGCTGCAACATTTAATTCATTGGGGATGAAGTATCGCCATATTTTGAAGCTTCGTTTTTCTGTAACACAGTTTGCTAATGAAACCAGCTTATACGCCGTTCTCATTATTTTCATCTAACAACATATTGTCCTATGAAACCAATGATTATCGGCAGGCTGAATATTTACATTTTGACAATGTACCTGTGCATGATTCTGTATTTTGTGAGGGTAAGTAGGAACTGGCGTCAATATTACGTCATGAAATAAAATAGTGATTTGGTCAGTGACTGCCAGGTTTGCCTCTCTCCCAATGTCGAATTGACAATCCTGAGATACTTGACCATGTCTTGATACTTACTCAATATATCAGCATGTGTTGTATGGATAAAGAAAGTAAATGATTTTCGTCTATCGTCATTAAATGACCCACAGCTTAATTACAATGTAAGATGGTGAAAGACTATATAGTTGTATATTGTGATTCTTAAATGTGATGCTGTTGTGTTTAACCAGTCATTATCATTAAAAAGGAAAAATTATCCCCATTTTTTCGCCCTTAGTTATTGAGAGTTTAAGGCGGTTTAACAAGACATAATATGATTTTTATTTTTGTTTTTGTGTTTTTGACAGGCCATGGTAGTACGAATAATATTTATGCTCCGCGATGTCGTAATTATGTAATCATTCTTGCTGAGACTGTTCTAATAAAAAAAAATCTTTGGAATTATTTCATATTTTGCAATAAAATCGTCATAAGAAAGTGTTGTGTTTATAGTATTGAAGAAGTCCTCTATTTGATATATAAAAAGAAAATGGAAACCTTCCTTTTAATCGACATTCTGATCTCCCAGAGTTACTGCCCTTCGTTTCATCTTGTCACTATGGATGTTATAGTAATAAGCTTGATAGCAGGTAGGGGACGAGAATGACCACCTATAGCTATCCTATTATTGTGCAATATACATCTGTAGGTACTTGCAGAATTCCTAAGCAGTACAAATGCTTAAGAATAATTAAATTAAAACAAATTCATCCACAGCCTTCATCCAAATAATTCACCTGTAAGTCAGTTTCTAGACGAAACAGATTTCTCGCCAAATCGGGACCTTTCGGTTGCTTCTGTGGAAGGGGCGATGTGTTTCATGCTCATGGAAAGCGACGAAAGTTTCCTACGGAGCCTTAAAGCAGACATCACGTACACCGGAGATCAGACTTGCTTATATCTTTAACTGTTAATAAACTTGTATTGTTTTTACATTTTGAATTGGTTTTCGCAACATTTGTTTAAAAAAAGTGTTATCAAATCCTAAAGCCTATCTATAATCATATCGTACGCTTTTATCCTATATTTATCTGTTTCCCATCCACACTAGAGAATCATATATATTACCAAAATTAATCTAACGATTGCCTGTCAAAACGAACACTTCTTAATCATAATTCTAGTACAGGGGTCTATTCAGAATATTACCTTATCATTGGAGACTACTAGCTAACTGTATCTGTTAAATGAACCATAGAAATATGTTCATCGTGGTTAGTTAGTTATAGAACGTCATTCATATGCCTCAGCAACTGCAGGTCGTTCGACCTTGTATAATGATGTAGAACTGGTACCGGCTCATGTCATGCTTAGCTGTCCTGTTCGGACTCCATATCCTGAAACTTATGTTTCATGGAGCCTGTCAGACTAAAACATGTTGTTAACAATATCTGAATACTAATGTTTACATTTTGCAGGAAGATTCCGGTGATCTGGACGTGAAACTTACCATGGTGACTTTTTGCTTAACTTTCAAGTACAATGACGATATTTACACTGCAACAGCTGAATATTGCCTCTAACTAAACTGCCAAAACAGCAAATTATATCGTGATTTTCCCTAGAATATATGCTTAGAAAGGTATTAAAACATCGTTGCCTGCAGCAGTGTTTCCTGTGGGTTAGGGCATGTATAGTACCCTATAGCTAATGAAGGGAACCAACGAAGAGAAAAATATCTTTGATCACATATAAGTTACCAACAAAGAAAGCAACTTAGAATACAACATACTTAATCTACACACTTTTCGCTCACTGTGAATGCGAAATAAGACTGGCGGTCTCCTCGATGTAACGATGTCTGAAATCCAAGACTGGAATCAAGTAAAAATGTTGTGTATTCAATGTATTAAATTCAGATGACTTTTTTGGTTACATATATAAGTATACAAACTCCGAAACGTAGGTCGAGTATTCGGTCTTCTTTTCATGTAGTGCTTCATTCAAATCATATATCTGCCTTAGTTGTTCGAATTACCGAAATAGGAAAGGGACAATATTCCAATGAATATATCTGGTTGTTGGTCGGTAAATTTGTAAAATAATGCATTGTTGCCACAGGAAGAATTTGCACATACATCTGTCTCACCAGGCTGGGAGACAATAACATGCAGTGGCGGTAGCCGACAAGTTCCTGATAGGGCTTGGATCACCCTGCCGGTATATAGCTTGAGTCAAAGATCCACCTGATGGCTGGAAAGGCCAATTAAGGTATAACGTAACCAGTTATTTCTACGCAGAAAATTAAAGGACACATATTAAGCGTCATCTGTTAATGAATGGTTGCTCTTCCGATGTGACACTGCGCAGTGGGAAGCGTAAACTTGAATAGACTCATTATACATTTTAATATCAATGCATTCCATTCCAAATGGTACCTTAATAGAACGCCAAACACACGTGTAAATAATCAAACATGTCACTCTATGGATTAAAACATGGCAAATATCTTGACATAATGTCCATCAAAAGAATCAGCTTATGCAAATGCTTGCATTAACAGCAGAGGTCACCTTCAGTTAGATATGAAAAGGAGGGAAGAAACGACGAGTGGTCGCCACACATAGATAACGCACTTGATGATAGGACTGGCCTGCATTAGATTATTTCAAAGTTTTCGAGGGTGTCAGTTCATATCTTATTTTGATAACTTAACACATTTTTTCTACTAAGCGAATTGAAATACATTTTAAGCACTGTCCTTTCAAGTATGGTGGAGTTAAAGATGTGCGAACAGTAAATCAGATGTGTTCCTAGTTGATATTATTATAAAGGACACGACAAAAAGACCGACATGACATCTTTCCATCAAGCTGTATGATAAGCGTGATGACTTCAATTTCCCTATTGTGAATTTTCCCTGCATTACCAATCTATAGTGCTGACGTTGCTTAAGTTATTTCGATGTTCAAGGGCCTGTTCCCAATATCAATATTTTTGTGAAAAATGTCAACTGACAACAGATCAGTGGAAGTTATGGGGAAGTTTTGCGGGCGTCGCAGTGATCGCATTGGGAAATATTGTGGGATATGAAGCTGGACGTGTTTGATACTCATTAGTTTGCCTCCGTTGTGTTACACCTTGTTGTCTTTTGAGAACGTGAAATTGCTTACTTGCATTGACCAAGTTGGCGGGTGTCGTGAATGAAGCAAAAGACGCGTACTGGGCCTGAACACCTGGTCTTATTCTCCTTGTACTTTTTCAGGTGTTTCCGTAACTCTTTTGTTCATATTTTGCCCTAGTTTTATTGAATATGGGTTTGGATTATGATTATGTTCACGTGTTAGTATTTTCTCCTTGTTTCTTTGTAATCATTTCGAAGAATGTAATGTCCATTTGATTATAATGAAGTACACAACTATTCGATTGTAAAAAGTATGTTAGTTTACAAAAAGGTGTGCAGCGATTATATGAAATATCTTAAAAAGCCAAGTCAATGTATTAAAATCAAGTCGTTGTATGGGGGCAATCGTTACTATAACGCGTATATTCTGTGTGTCGTCATATTCAATTTTCCGTTGGGATGATTGATATGTTGATATACAGGTAATTAAAATTGAAGACGATGTTATATTCTTTATGTTGTATTGTGACGTATTTGAAATGTAAATAAGTCGGTGATGTAATTAATAAAGAAAAATAAATTTCATAATTTCTGGATATATGCTCTTTTATTTATAATATAGATAAATAAGTACATATTTTTATCGTACACTCGGCGGTTCGTTTATGATAACAGCGGTTATTTTACCTTTGTTTATTCGTTGAACAACATCAATATACATCTCATAATAACAATTCTTTATATATTGTATGTCCAAAAATTGCTAAAAATCTTTAATGAATGGACACATAATCCTTATCAAGCAAAAAAGTTGAAGATGGCTATACTACGATATCAAATGTCTGTTTTTTTCTCACTTTCTTTTATTTTTAAGGAGTTTATATACAATATTATTTAGAATAAAGATAACGACACACTTCCATAGCAAAAATAGTATATAAGTCACGAAATTAAAACATGGTACAAAATAATGCATAAGCACGCATGACCAGGAAAGCTTTTACGGTAGTTTAACTTTTTATCATTTCGCCGCGTTGCACAATGAGTGAAACGTAAAGGTGCTCTAGTTTAAAGGTGTAGATAAAACATTTGGTTATCTATTTGGAGGTGAATTCAATACAGGTCAAAATCAAACCATTGCATGCGAAGATGAAAAAAAAAACCTTGTCGAATGTTCCCTTTTCTTCAGAACAGGACATGATAAAAGTTTAAAGATCAAGATAAAGGAAAATAAAGCAAAGTCAAATAGACATACGATAGTCATCACGTCTAATTGGTCAATTCAGTTACTTATCTTTAACATAAGCTCTATACTACAGGTGATACAAGGTTAAACAGTAATGTTTTTGTATTAATGATATCAATAAAATATAAGGTAATTATGTAAAACTTCCAACATCCTACTTATACATAGCGTTAAAAATAGAACTCACAATTTGACGGAGAGGAAAGTATTTTTTTTAAGTTTTAAAATGTATGCCTTACGTTATACTTATCAGATATTTTATTTTTAAGGTTTTAACACTGACTAAAATCTCAATTTTTGTAAACGCTGATGCTGATTAAAACAAACTTGTATAAACGCTTTGTAAACGTGTTCAAACCCTTTCAATTTTCATTGTAGGAAACTTACTGCATATAAGGGAAAAGTGTTGTCCCCTTGTTTAGGCTGTACCGATGTAGATAATTACTTATTAAACTTACCCATTAAGAAGGCAATAGCTCTATTACTTTAAACGTTTTTATCTTGCAATATACTTCCATCTCTCTCGTGGATATGTTAACTTTACTGATCAAGTTATCACATTGGTAATGTATAATGAACAATCAACATAATTACATTCAGATAATCAATGATCATCACAGTATCAACATCGAAATAATACAGAGCCGTCTTCGTTTTACAGAACACATGCAAGCTATTGATATTCTTTTTATCGTAAGACTGTTGTCACTTAGAAGTTTTAAAATCTATCACGAAATCCAATTGCCAATATATCCAATATATCTTTACGACGTTCAGACATTTTTACTCGTTCGGCAGTGTATCATATATATATATATATGATTGCCCCTTTAATCACTGATGTAAATATTACTATAACGAACGTTGACAACATGCTAGTAAAGTATACATGTGGATAAATTCGACATTCTGTATGTATCATTCTGGGTTACTTATTGACAATCAAATCTTTACAAGCATCTACATGCATGTATCATGCCAGTGATATCTGAGAACCTAATCACTAGGGACTTCTATGTAACGACAAAATGTACAAATAGTTAGAACAAAAGTAAATAGCGGACATGAGTGACAACTGAAAATACAAAACATATCTCATCGACTTCTTAGGTATTAGTGATATAAAAGAAATAAATGTTGATTTATCGATATCGAAATTTCAAGGTATATCTTTTTACAAAACATACATAGAATCACTTGCATAAAATTCGTTAAGAGTTGGATTCGTCCAATGACTCAATAATGATATCTAAAAGTCCTACGGTCAAATATCCTGATAGATCAATTCATTACCGAAATTAGGAAGATGTTAAATGATATTTCATAATGAAAAAGGTTAATCTAAAATGTATAAGGACATTAATGTAAGGAAAAATAACACGGGGTTTAAATTTTTAACGTTTTGTGTTACATAATTGCATATTTGACTAAACGTCTTTGTTTAGAATCTTCATTCCCTGACACATTCACTCATTCCAGATACGTGCTGTTGTATGCCAGTCCATCTGACACCTTCTCATAGCCGTTAACAACCTGCCTATAGTAGCCTCCCCTTGGAATGTCTTCTTCCAGCACTGCAAAAGAGCTGTCATCATTTCCTTAAAGTTGTGAGAATGACAATATATTTCTTGCCCTATGGCCGGAGGTGACAATCCGATCTCCAAGCAGAGGTTGTAGAATGCCGTGTCGATGTTGCTGATGATGAGTTGGATTTCAGAATCATTTGGAACTCTATCCGAAACCTCTCTAGGAACTACATAAATCAGAAATACAAGACACTAAAGCAAACAGATGAAAAAATTGAACAAGATATGTGACATAACTTAAGGCAAGATGGAAAAAGTGACACATAAGATGAAACTACTTACAAATATATAAGATATTGATAAAATATAAAAAAAAAAACATTTAGAAAATGTGGAAATCAATAAAAAAAGAAATGAGGATATTGAAACATATTCTCTGAAATAAGTGTTCTCATATTTCTCCACATATTTTTGCATCCGAATTTATTATGTACATCGCTTATTTATCGTTTTGCTCACTTCTTGACTGAAGTTGACAAAGTTTCAAAACATGCATTCGTGAAAATAGTGAAGATTATACTTAAATAAGTTAGAACAACAGTTCGACATTGTTAATCGATGGCAAAACGTTCTATCCTGTGGACGTGTGGGAAAGCATAATTAAGTGTATAGGACAGTTACATGTTTTGGCATATCTTATTTACTTTCGCTTTGATTTTTTTCATCAAGTACTTTTAGAATGTCAAGCATGATGACGTAGTAAGATCAAATTGATATTTATATATACTATACATTTAAGTTTGGATCTATATTAACAATACTGAATGATAGGTATGATGAAATCAAATGTTGATCCGAATTTTCTAACCAGAGGACTGTTTGATTTCACATTTGCAGATATGGGCTGTAGTGCTTTGTGAATATGCTGAATTCAGTGTATCATCGCAACAACAATATAATGACGACACCAAATTCAGCTAACGTTTAGAATCATTTTTAGTGTTTGAAATGGTCGAAGCTACCCCTCATTGAATGTACGACTGCTTAATGTAGCAGCGAATTAGAATTGTCATGACATAGTCGAAAATCAATGAGGGAAACTCATATCATACTAATTTTGCTTATGATAAGAACATTTATATAATAATATTATGTTCATGATATGAAGATTTAATGAACAGAAGCTAAACAAATCGTAAACTGACTTAAAATGATGAGTTTTGCTTCACTTCAACATATACCTGTTCCTGATCTCTTACATATAAAGCAAACAGTAAATAAGATAATATTTAATAACCACAAAGTGAACCATAAAAAATTATATCTTATTACCTTCGCCTTGTGGTCCTAGTTCTGTTTCCACTGTTTCAACAATCCGATCAGTTGCCATGTCATGTTCCTTCATAGCCAGGACGATGTGATGGAATGTCTGATTCGGGTAGATGTTTGTCCACTTCAGAAACAACTTGGTGATCAGAGTAACTGGCGCTAATCCTGATGAGTCAAGTTTCATGCGTCCGATTTCTGGGTAAGGAACTCCAAGCTCAACAAACAGCAGCTCATAAGAAGACGCGCTTACTATATAGGACAAGCGACCAAGTTCTCGCGCGGTTGGCCTTCTGTTTGGAAATGTCGTGTCACCATTCGTCGTTTCTAAAACATATCGATAACAAAAAAAAAAAAAAAAAAAATTCCCAGTTACAGCTTAGATGAAAATAAAATATGGACTAATTTGTGATCTTAAAATATATATTTTTTGGTGAAGTTGTGGACAGAACTAAATAGCTCTTAGCGGAGCGAAATAAAATTGAGAATAATTGATCTTACGCTGCTATTGAGTCATTAACCTGACGTCTCAGTGAATATAAATATATAATATCATAAATATCAATGTTTTCACATAGATATCTATGCAAAGAAACCACAATTTGTCCATGTATGTTGAAATAAACCAACAAAGAAAGTTTTTGTTAAGCAACAACTTTCTTAGTATTTAAATACGCTATTTAGTTATATATATATATATATATATATATATAAACACTCACCAATGTTTGACCCTTTCGCTTGAACGGAATCCTAAAACAAATATAGAACCATATATATTCACTTAAATCTTCAACAATATATCGTTCATTTGCGTAGTGTTGTTGTAGAGAAAACATCAATAAAATAAAGACCTAATTTGATCTGATACTTTACACCTCGAACTCATCTTGATAAGACACAAATACTCCTTAAAAATATTGGACAAGAATATTTTGATTTTTATAATAAGTAATAAAATAAAATTTCATTGTCGGAAATGATGACGAAACCATCCAGAAAGTGTCTGGTTGAACAGGCAGTCAGACAGACAACTAGGTAGCCAGACAGACAGACAGCCAGCCAGCAAGACAGACAGAGAGACATACATACAGACAGACAGTTACCTGTGTTATGTTCCAAAATGAGGTGTCTGTTTTCGACAGTATGTGCCGTTTTTGACAATCTTCCCCTTTACAGGGTACGCCCATCTTTGAGTTGATGACGCCGTACCGGTGTACAGGGGTGTCGTATGGACTCAGATAGAAGTTACAGTGTAGTTGATGTGTATACTGAAAGTGTTGCTGGTTACTCATTTCCAAGGCGTCACGAATAATTTCTTCTATTGAGAGTCTGACTTGTTTTCCACTATCTGCGGGGAAATGGGCTTCCGTTGGACTGAATACAGTCACAACAATTGTGGACCTCTCTGGATGCATGGAAATGATAAATCTACAGATGTCGTTGACCTCAAAACACCCAAAACCTCTATAAAGACACACGTGTTCAAGTCTCGGCCTCGTCTGGTCTATTTCAGTCGTAGTTTGGAGGCTTCGTGTTGACAGTGATGTTGGAGTGTACATTCTAAGGATGTGGGCGAAGATTCTGTGAAACAACTCGTCAGGTACGTATACATCGGTGAATACGAAGCATAACGCTTTAGAAATGGCGCGAAGACTGCGCTTCAGGCTGGTGACTTCACTGGTTATCACATCGATGTTTTGCAGCTCCATCAGTTTGCTGGGGATCGTATACGTCTCACTGAACTGTTTAGTTGCGGATCCTGACGACGTCACCATTTTCACTATCAATCCAAATTTTTCCATCAGCGCCAAAAGAACGGATTGATATGGAATGAAAGCACGATTCTTTGTCAGCTTCAGAAGACCTTCAATTAATTTCTGAGTCAATTCGCCCTTTGTTGTGTACAGCTCCAGGTCTCGGGTCATCAGGAGGTCGCCAATCGGGAGAAACTGGTCATCGGTAAGAAAGATACTGAAGAAGTCAGCAAGCCACTGGGGGTCGGTGATAATGTAATCAAACTCCCGAAAATAAATCACAGACCTGGTGCAGTGAAGGTATCTAAGAAGAAATATAGAAATGGTAGTTCAAAGGTTAACCACGCATCCCGTGCAGTGAAATAACAAAGTTATAAAGTATTCGCTAAATAACTTATTTTTCTGTGAGAGAGAAAGTTGGGTACGAAAAAATTTGATTGCTTTACGTGACATACTGATACAAAACTTACTATAAATATCTAATGTATTTTACACATTTATAATAATTAAATAAAAACAATAACTGATGCCTTAGTATACAACTTGTAATCGGTGTTCATCTTGATTAAGTTAGATAATATGACTACGTGGGGACACTGTGCACGGTTTATATAATATATATATAATAATAATAAGTGTCTGTTCCCTATGGCTGATCACTCATGGCACTCTGTAAACAAAACAATGATGCTGTATTAGCTGTGTCTAATGATGTTACTGTGTGAGCTGTGTTTAATGATATACTGTGTTAGCGGTGTCTGATAATGATACTGTGTGAGTTGTGTCTGATGGTCATACTGTGTGAACTATGTCTGATTATATATTGTGTGAGATGTGTTTAATGATATCAATGTGTGAGCCGTGTCTGATAATACTGTGATAGCTGTGTCTGATAATGATACTGTGTTAGCTCTGTCAGATGATGATACTGTGTTAGCTGTGTGTGATGATGATACTGTGTTAGCTGTGTCTGATGATGATACTGTGTTAGCTGTGTGTGATGATGATACTGTGTTAGCTGTGTGTAATGATGATACTGTGTTAGCTGTGTCTGATAATGATACGGTGTTAGCTTTGTCTGATAATGATACTGTGTTAGCTGTCTGTGATGATGATACTGTGTCAACAGTGTGTGATGATGATACTGTGTCAACAGTGTGTGATGATGATACTGTGTTAGCTGTGTATGATGATACAGTGTGTTAGCTGTGTGTGATGATGATACTGTGTTAGCGGTGTATGATGATGACAGTGTGTTAGCTGTGTGATGATGATACGGTGTTAGTTGTGTGTGTGATGATGCTACTGTGTTAGCTGTGTCTGATGATGATACTGTGTTAGCTATGTGTGATGATGATACTGTGTTAGCTGTGTGTGATGATGTGTTATACTGTGTGCTGTGTGTGATGATGTGTGATACTGTGTTAGCTGTGTGTGTGAATGATGATACTGTGTTAGCTGTGTGTGATGATGATGTGTGTTAGCTGTGTGTGATGTGTTAGCTGATACTGTGTTAGCTGTGTGTGATGATGATACTGTGTTAGCTGTGTGTGGTGATGACACTGTGTGACTGTGTTAGCTGTGTGTGATGATGATACTGTGTCAACAGTGTGTGATGATGATACTGTGTTAACTTTGTCTATTAATGATACTGTGTTAGATGTGTCTGATGATGATACTGTGTTAGCTGTGTGTGATGATGATACTGTGTTAGAGTGATGATGATACTGTGTGTGTGATGATGATACTGTGTTAGATGTGTGTGATTATGATACTGTGTTAGCTGTGTGTGATGATGATACTGTGTTATGTGTGTGTGAGCATATTACTGTGTGACACACACATGTGTTAGCTGTGTGTGATGTGTTAGTGTGTGTGATGATACTGTGTGTGTGTGTGTGTGATGTGTGATGATGTGTTATGATGATAGTGTGTTAGCTGTGTGTGATGATAATACTGTGTGAGTTGTGAGCTGTGTTTGATGATTGTAATGTGTGACCCGTTTCTGATGATGATACTGTGTTAGCTGTGTTAGCTGTGTGATGATGATACTGTGTTAGCTGTGTGTAATGATGATACTGTGTTAGCTGTGTCTGATAATGATACTGTGTTAGCCGTGTGTGATGATGTTACTGTGTTAGCTGTATATTATATGATACTGTGGTAGCTGCGTGTGGTGATGATACTGTGTTAGCAATGTGTGGTGATGATACTGTGCTAGCTGTGTGTGATGATGATACTGTGTTAGCTGTGTGTGATGATGATACTGTGTGTGATGATGATGTGTGACCTGTGTGTTAGAGTGTGTGTGATGATATGTGTTAGCTGTGTGATACACTGTGTGTTGTAGTGTGTGTGTGATGATGATACTGTGTTAGCTGTGTGTGATGATGATACTGTGTTAGCTGTGTGTGATGATGATACTGTGTTAGCTGTGTGTGATGATGATACTGTGTTAGCTGTGTGTGATGATGATACTGTGTTAGCTGTGTGTGATGATGATACTGTGTTAGCTGTGTGTGATGATGATACTGTGTTAGCTGTGTGTGATGATGATACTGTGTTAGCTGTGTGTGATGATGATACTGTGTTAGCTGTGTGTGATGATGATACTGTGTTAGCTGTGTGTGATGATGATACTGTGTTAGCTGTGTGTGATGATGATACTGTGTTAGTGTTGAGATACTGTGTTAGTGATGATGATACTGTGTTAGCTGTGTGTGGTGATGATACTGTGTTAGCTGTGTGTGATGAGATAGTGTGTAATGCTGTGTGTGATGATGATACTGTGTTAGGTGTGATTGATAATATTAATGTGTAAGTGATGTGTGTGATGATGTTAGCTGTGACTGTTGATACTGTGTGATCTGTATCTGATGATCATACTGTGTGAGCTTTATGTGATAGTGTGTAAGCTGTATGTGATGGTGATATTGTGTAAGGTGGGATTGATAATATTAATGTGTTAGCCGTTTCCGATGAGCTGTGTCGGATTATATATTGTGTGAGATATGTGATGATGATACTGTGTGAGCTGTGTCTGATGATACTTTGTGATTTGCGTCTGATCATGATGCTATTTCAATTATGTCTGATGATGATGCTTATGTCTGATGATGATGCTGTGTGAATACTAAATGTCGTTGGTGGTTTTGACTGCTACTTGCAAGCTTTGTTTTGTAAGCTGTCATGACACACACACACACATATATATATGTGTATAAGATTATATATTTTATCCGTTATTGTAGATGTATTTTAATGCCGAATCATGTATCACATCTAACATATGAATATTGAATGGAATGACACATTTCAGATCAAATTTAGGTGAAATAGGATTCGTGTTGAAGTTGTCGAGATATCATGCTGAAGTAAAAATAAAGTCGCGAAGAAACAACTCAAGCTTTCTATTGCGAGATGCGTTTAAATACTTTTACGTAATAAACCAACGGAGACAAGTAATCAATTGACTGAATAAATATTCACTTATGTCCTAGACAGTAAACGACTATAACATAGATAATAATATCTGTATATCTGTAAAATTCTTAACAGAGATAAAATAACATGCAAAAATAAATATATATGTTCATCTCATATATTTCAATATACGGAGAATACATGATACAGCCATTTGGCAACGGAATTTTGATTTCAAGGCCTTCAGATTTCCAATATCAATATATGAGACACATTTGCTATATATTTATTATCTATTGATGCACACAAACTTACTCCAGGGCAAGTTTGATCTCATCCACACCGGACAATTTTACTAAAGATGATTCGTTCATCTTGATAACCTCCGCTAACGTGAGTATCCTCGTTCCGCTTTCTCTTGCTTTCAATAAATCCATTTCGAGTCGTAGCCACGTGACTGGCAGTTGTCTGTCCCACTGATCCTGATGAACAGCTGCCTCTTTGATGTAACCTCTCAGTAAATTTAGGTCTTCAGCTTTATTGTCGAGACTGTTGTCGACTGTACAGAACCTGACAAAACGGTGTGCAGAGAGTTCGGGAAATTTTGAGATGCTTAAATGTATGTTCCTGAGCTGTTTGTCGTAGTCCTGAAACAAAAATAAAACAGCATCTTCATAATATTCATGATAAGCCTGATCACTTCGCCATTTTGAAAAGTTTGCAATTTCTTTTTTTTCCCTATATATATATATATATTTAAAGAAAAGCTAAGTTATAGACTTTATTTTTTACAATAATATTTAGAAGCAAGGTATGCCACCAGCTACATCTGCAATCACCATTGTTTGAGGAAAAACGAGAACGCTAGCACTGTGCCACTCGAACCGTCAACATAATTAAGGGCACCATTTTTGAGAAACAAAAACGTTACTAGCATCCTTATTAATCGTCATTATAAGAAAGTCAAAGTTGTTTCAAATATCCAAATTATAGGCGGGTTATTATCATTTTCACTTATACTGGGAATTTTCATTACGCACCTTGTTGTTTTTCTTCAACTTATCAAGAAATGTGCCGACGAAAATGATTGGAGGAGCATGCGATCTTGTTTCATGCGCATCCAGTTCGACTGCGGAAAACGTGCCAATCATTCTTATCCATTTTTTCAGCCGGACTATCAAACCAATAAACAATCATTACAGGTGAAAAATAAGACAAAAAAGGATTTCTTGTGTGAAACCTTTACGGGATAGCACTATCAGTTTAAGAAAGTTGTTGATGAGATCAACGCATTAAACTTTTATGGAATATTTAGCTAAATACTCAATTTAAAAGTGCCCGACCAACAAAGCCAAAAGAAGTCGTTTAATAGTTTAAACAAATATGATCCCTGTGACCTTGAATTTACGTCTAGGTCATTTATGTTCGCAAACATTGTCAAGTTTTAACTAGAAACATACCAGTCAGATACCATGCCTCAAGACCTTTCAGTTCATGAGTAGAAGTCGTTTAAAGGTTTTAATACATTTGATCCCTCTTGAACATGGCTAATTTCTTTACGCAGAGTTTGTCAATCTTCACCCATTGCTTATTACAAGATTTGTCAGTCTTTATCCTAGGAACATACCCGCCAAGTATAAAAAATTCTGGTCCATTGGTCATTGAGAAGGTGTTTAAAGGACAGACGGACGGACCGAAGACGGACGACCGAAACCTCGCTAAGGCATAAACTTATTTGCCCTTTGGGCCAGGTGAGCCAAAATCATTGTAAGTGCTCTAGTGAATTTCAGGGTTATTAGGTTAAAGTTAATGTTACTGTAATTTTTTCGTCATTGTCAGAGCACCAATGGCTTCAACCCTGAGCGATTATCATCAAACGCCACTTATTTGAAACGTTTCTTAGCTTGCGGGGCACGAGATGGGACATGGTTTGCTTTCATGATCCTCAGGTTGCTTTTTTCCTTCAGTTCTTTTTCATAACGTTAAAATAAAATAGAAATGGTGATACATTACGTTAGTAGGAATTCTATTTTTCGCACAAATTAACCATCACTCTGTTATTTTCCGTTTTAACGTGTTCATATATAACGTTATTATAAAAGGTAGATATTGAATTACAAGAAATGACCTTAATTGCTTTCAGCAATGATAGACTATTTTACGGCAAATCTTCGTATTGTTTCATCACATGTTCTAGTTATGTCTAGCTTTGGTAAATAGTTGTTTCCCATATTTAACTAGGACAGCAATAAGCTGGCCATAGAATAGAAGTTCTTATAACACAACCAGTAGATTATGACGTTTCGATGACTACACGGTCACCTTGATCAGACAAACAACCAGTGTGGTCCAGATGGCTTCCTTAACCAACCGTCTGAAAACGTTGTTTTCATTGTCGACTATTTTGTAATTTTCCCTGTCAATGGTATGATTTTGCTATGTGGAATGACTGTAAGTGCAGATTTGATCTGAGACTGTAAATGTTTTCGCTCTAACCTAGTGATTTTCCGCCCTCTTGGGATTCCGCGTCTTTGTGTTGTTAAATGAGTCGGACCCCGAATCATCTGCCTGTTTCTCCGATATATGATTTTGTATAACAGCACATTGTCACCACCTGGCGTATTGTTTTGTCTATATAATCTGCTTACCATCACGTCACACTATTTTCGCCTTTAGTGTACATAGGATTATAATGCAGCAGAAAAAGTTGGTCGAATCCGTACCGTCTCGTACACTAAGTACGTCAGTGCAAGTACGCTCCACACTGGTCATCTGTCTGATGAAGGTGACCGTGTAGTCATCGAAATGTCACACTCTAATTTCCTACTGGTTTTGTTAACATTTGAAAAAAATGCAAGATATACATGGCATATGAGTTTTTTCATGTGGAGTCACCTTTCAGGTGATTAGTTTGCTTAATAAAATTATGTAACATTGATTGACAAATCATGTCATTAATTACATGGCCTATTCACTCAAATATTTCTGAAATCGTTTTTTTCCAGCAACAAACTAGCAGATTTAACTTTACCATTAAAAAACAATGTTCAGTTACTTGCCTGTTTCCAGGTTTTCTTCAAGGAAGTCGGTCAATCGGAAGACTAGAAGGTACACGCCGTGCGAAGAAATGAAGACGCTGTGTGAAGCCTGGAACGACATGTGTCCACCCATATCCCACAGAGACAGGAACGCTTCGTCAGAGTTGGAAACATCTGCGTTCATGATTATGTCAGTTTCCTCACAATATTGTTCGTCAGATAGTGGTGGCAAACGTTCTGTGCTTTCTCCAGCTACTAATAAAGTATATAAGTTATCTGTAACCAACATAGCGAATTTGCTCCACCTTTTTACTGCATTAGTTCTTTTTGTATGCTTCACTAGATGAATGTACTATATATTACATTGTATTTACCCAACTCATATCTGTTTATGTAATTGAAACATTTTAGTTTTTATCACTTAATTGGTCTGGTATTCAGTGCGTTCGCCCATATAATAGTTTTGCATATAATGTGGCCATTGATGTTATGATAAGAACTGTCGACGCCACGACAAATGCCTACTTCTGTTTGAGTTGATCGTCCATTATTCTACTTAAAACCTGTCAAAATGTAACATTTAGTGATAAAAAGTATATTTAGTTTTGTTGCCATACCTTTTAGACCTTGACGGACTTTAAAACTAATTAGAAATAATATATCTAAAAAATCCCGAAAATAAGAAATATAAAGTAAATTACATATACATTTATTTACTAATGCACACGTTCGTGCCATGTATTTGTAAATATTTCTCAATATCTTATCCGTCATGTATTTTTGGTTCATAAAAGCATTGACTTTCTAGACTTGTTTCATGGATCACCTTAGCTAAACGAGGTCCATTCTCGGCCTCAATTGGTTTGCTTTTTATTGCTATACCATCCTCTCTCCAAGTTTTTTAAATTGTTACGGATTGGTATTTGGACTGACCTTTCGTCATAATATCAATATAATTTCAGATACAGAAGTATCTTAAGTTTAGTATACAATTTCAAAAAATCTTCTTAGGCAATATTCGTTAGTATGATTTAAGTGCATGAACTCTATTATTTTTCGTCTCCATTACTACCCCAAAGTCTTTTTACTTATACTTGCACTGACTCCTTTTGGACTTCATTATATTTATGAGTTGGATGCATGCACGCGAGCAAGACAGACAGAGATTATTGACCGCATAGCCATGACACTAATTAGTTTAATTCAATGTGAATTGAAAAGTCAAAGTCAGGTGAATGGTCAGATGCCACCTAATTCTAGTTTATCAGAAACTATTATCAGAGGTCACAGAGTTGTAAACTATTTAACACTTTTAAATAAACAATCTGTTAGGATAGAGGAAGAGAAAAATTACGAAACTCCGATGATTTCCAGTTCATTTCATGAAATTACAAGGTTACAAATACCTAAATTGAAATGACATGTTTGATGCGTATGCCCAGTTCTTTATTATCAAGCCGACAATTCTTAGAAGATCTATCAGCATCATTCTTCATACGATTTATAAATGTTAATCGTGTCTATGTCATTTAACCGTGTTTTCAAAAAATATGTGGATGGAAGCATACGATCAGAACAGAGATATATGTGCATCTGCACATTATTTAGCAGTCGGTGTTGGGAGAAAAGTAGCAACACCTATATGATTTTTTACAAAGCTATTCGAATATCCTTTATCTATTCACCTAATACTGGAAGACGTGTCTTTGTGATTCTGTTTTCCGAATAAACATTTGAAACCGCTGAAACAATTTGTAACGTAAAACACTAATTACTTTTAGTTAGGTTCGGTGTCTAAGACACAATGTAGTACAAATTGAAGGTTATATCAGAGGAACTGAATTATCCAATGCAGGAATGAATGAATAAGGTCAAACTTACTGATGATAGACCTGCTACTTTGCAATGTACCGTTTTTTATTAAGTAAAAGATGAATTCATTGTATCCAAGTCGTTATTATTTAGTTGAGTATACTATTAGATTTCGTTACTTTATTATTATGTTCTCTTCATTGTAATGCCAACTAAACCTCTTCGATAACTTATGAGACTATTTTGATGGGGTATTCATGCAGATATATTTCTAATTTTTTTTTCAATAAACTTGCGCCTGAACTTCATTATATGAAAGATATGTTTTTTTTTCAATTTAAATGTTTTCCTGACATTGGGATAGGAATGATGAGATTGCGTATATGCTTGGTTATTAGATATTTGTAGGAATGACATTCTAAAACTGAGCCAAGCGACCGTAGCTAAGTAATGTCAACAGACAGGAGTTGTATTGCTTTCATACTTTCAATCTACTGTATATTACCTTCTTTCGAAACAGTTTCACTGCCTTCGTCAGGGCTTAAAATCGCTGCTCCCAAACGACTTTTTACTACATCAGAAAGTATTCTATTATCATTATATTTCCACGTTCCAGAATCCAAGTCGACTGAGAAACAACAAGGACGCAACACAGCTCCAACAGTTGGTTGTCGTGACCCGAGATTGACAGTTTTTTCCTGAAGACGACGACATATGGTAGTTTTACCGACATCATCCTTGCCGGTTAAGACTACGCGTATGTGTCGATATTTTTCCATTCGTCCATTGTATAGTGTTAGGTATTCACGAACTACTCTCTGATCTGGAATATAAATAGATGAAATTAACAACACAGTTACACCTTACAGGTATCATAACAATTTCCTGCTAATCAAATTCAAAATTAGAAATTGAGCACATTTCAAAAAGTGTTTTTATATCCATACACGACTTGTATATCTCCAACTGGAGAGGCAGTAATATTATATACAAACAAAGGTATTATATTTTATTCAAATATACGTGGATAAGGAGTACCAACTAAAACGTCTATACAGATATAAATAAAAAATACAAACATGCCAACATAATCATAATCCAAGCTCAAATTCCATAAAACAAGGGCACAATATTATTTGATATAATATTTTTCTTCAAATACAAGAGCTCGAAACAATGAACATAAATGAAATGATAATTTGTTCAATGGATTTCAGTTTTAAGTAATTCCCATACAACACGTTCTTGTCTTATCAACCCTTTACCGAAGAATTTCGTGTTTTTTTTTCACATTTCAATTTTTGTGGGGGTTAGGTATAAAAGCTTAGCTGTCTGTGTGACGATAATCTGTTCCCTTATTCTATTGTTTGAGTATTTCACTTTTGAAATTGTCTCATTCTGATTAGTTTTGAAATGTCATATAACAGTAGACGTGTTTTATCCAAATAAGATATCTTATGATGTGAAAATTTCGAATGTGACACTGACACGTGATATTTATGTAATGATCGATTGCGACCAGATTATACAAATACAGTAGGTTTAACAATCTGTGCGTTTTCTAATAGTACCATTAAAACAGCTTAATTTTGTTTCCCATCATCAGATAACATCATATTAGAATTTGTATTCAATCAAGATAACCATTTTTCCCACTTGCGTCGTTCTACTGAAGGAAACGCAAATTGAATTAAAAAAAAAAATGAAAAAAATTGTAAAAGATCTGGTCGTTATATTATTTTATAGCTATATCAAAATTAAACCGTAGCTTGACATTACTTCAGATCTGTTTGAATATCACTACTATTTTACACTCAAGCATTATAGGCAGAACGACACTGCCATAGGAGAATGATAAAAATTGAAGAAGAGAAAGGTCAGAAAAATATTCGTTTAACTACTTATACGTCTTATATAAAAAGATATATATTTGAAAACATGATACTCACACAAATGCGATTTGCGCGAGAGATACCTAACCTATCTATGGAGAAGAATTTACAGGAGAAATAGTCATATTACTCATAAAAATACAATTACTTCATTCAAAAACTTGATTATCATTTGATCTATTTCGTATTAATTATTCTTCATTTATATATGAAAGTTCTCGTTTAAACCACGCTGTTTATTACATGGATCTGTTCAGGGTTTATTGATAGTCAAATGTTCGTGTGAGAACAAGAAAATTGAATGAACGATGAAAAAATATCGATTTAGTCATCAACAGCATAATTAGCAGTGATAAAGAATAGTTTACTTACCCACGGATATTAGATCCAATCATGACAGGTCAAGTACACATATATATAAAAAGAAAGAAAAATAAACACCAGTTTAATTATTCTTCACATTCATTATCTCTATCAGAATAATTCTTACAAATTTCAAGGAACATATTTTCTTTTGCTTTTCACTTTTAAGTTCATTAAGATCGATATTGTCTTGATTACAATTTTCCTTTAACCAAGCTATAGATGATAACGTATTTGTTTTGTATCAGAATGAGCCCATGAATTAAGTCAGGTGTACATTTGTTAATATTGTTATTCAATTCATAATGTCCATAAAAATGATCTCATTTAAATTATGTTTTCCATCAGTGATTTTGTCAAATTTCACGAAAAAACATCTGAAGGGAAAAATCAAACAAGGAATTACAGTCTGGCTTTGTTATTTGTTGCATAATAATTGATCATAATATATTCAGATTCTTATAATTCATCAGTTATTTTCGAAAAGTAGTAATTTCAAGAAATAAACTATAATGTTTGATTGATCTGCTTGGAAGTTGAGCAATCTTCTAACGTTATAAACCAAATCATATAATAGTGTAACCATAGTAATTTAGGCAGAAGATGGCAATTGCAAGGAACGAAAGTGCTCGTTCAAAAACTGACACGTCTTATGCTAAAAATAAATTCATGTTGGAACATAAACGTCTCTCAAAGGCAATTAACACGAGAGACACCTTAGCTATTTTTGAGATGAATTGATTGCTAAAATGAAAAAAAATCCAAACGTGATATCAACCATAAAAATACAATTAAAAGTACTTCATCCTCAAACATACGTCTTGATTGTAATGATATCTAATTCTCATTAATAATCAACCTGTCTACATGATGATACTGGTTGAAGCACTCTATTTATTAAATGGATCTATTCTGTAGCAGGTTTTATTGACAGTCTATGTTCATGTGAGAAAATTCGTGACTTATCTGAACTGAATTACAGGTTTAAAACATATGGGTTGAGTTATCCACATTATCATTAGAAGTGATGAAAAACTTGTTTATTTCCTTAATGTTATCAGATCCATTTAAGACAATTCAAGAATGAAATGAAACAAATACAACTAAAAGTCAATATTAGCTATTTTGCACAACACTTTTACCAATCAGAATCACTCTAACACATTTCCAGCAACTTATTCATTTGATATCAACTTCATCGAGAAAAGAAAAAGAAGACATCTTATGAATTTTGAACATTCCATTGGCATATCATGTTTCTATAAACGAAATCAAGTAAAGATATTGCAATCTAGCTTTGGTGTATTTGTACGAATTGTAAATTTAAACACAGATAGTGTTGTTTTACGAATCTCTTCTAAAAATTCATAAAAGGGACATAATATACTAACGGAATAACAACATTATCGAATAGTTCAATGCTATAGAGAGTATGTAACTATTATTTGTTAATATTTACTTCATAATGTCCATATCAAATTTGTAAAGTACTTATCTGAAGGGAAGAATTTAATCATTTGGATGAAGAGAGCAATGCTTTCATCAGCCATAGTAACGAATGGAATACTTACGTCCTGTTTTAAGATCCAGTCAGAACCAGTCAGTGATGAAATAAAAAAGAAAGTATCAATTGAATATTATTTCATTAACATGGGATTTCATCAGAATGATTCTATGTTATATTTAGAGAAACAAGATCGATAAATTCGAAATAGAAATATCAACGAAAAGAAGAAATATTGTGCACTTTAGGTATTTCATTCGTATATCGCTTTGTTGAAAACACAACAAAGTAATATATCGCAGCTTTGATGTGTGATATTACAAGATGAACCCACTGAATGATGTTCACTGATGAATGTGTTCTGACACTGCAGGTATGTTGAGCAATCTTCTAACGTTATAAACCAAATCATATAATAGTCTAATGATAGTATCATAGGCAGAATAAGGCATTCATAAGAAACGAAAGTGCTCGTTCAAAAACTGACACGTCCTATGCTAAAATAAATTCATGTTGAAACATAAACGTCTCTCAAATTCAATTAACACGAGAGACACCTAAGCCATTTTTGAGATGAATTTATTGCTAAACTGAAAAAAAAGTCCAAAGGTGATATCAACCATAAAAATACAATTAAAAGTACTTTATGCTCAAACATCCGTCTTGATTGTAATGATATCTAATTCTCATTAATAATCAACTTGTCTACATGATGATACTGGTTGAAGCACTCTATTTATTAAATGGATCTATTCTGTAGCAGGTTTTATTGACAGTCTATGTTCATGTGAGAAAATTCGTGACTTATCTGAACTGAATTACAGGTTTAAAACATATGGGTTGAGTTATCCACATTATCATTAGAAGTGATGAAAAACTTGTTTATTTCCTTAATGTTATCAGATCCATTTAAGACAATTCAAGAATGGAATGAAACAAAAGCAACTAAATGTAGATTTTAGCTATTCTGCACATCAATTTTACCAATCAGAATCACTCTAACACATTTCCAGGAACGTATTCGCTTATCAAGTTCATTGAGAAAAGAAAGAGAAGACATCTTATGAATTTTGAACATTCCATTGGCATATCATGTTTCTATAAACGAAATCAAGTAAAGATATTGCAATCTAGCTCTGGTATATTTGTACGAATTGTAAATTTAAACACAGATAGTGTTGTTTTATGAATCTCTTCTAAAAATTCATAAAAGGGACATAATATACTAACGGAATAACAACATTATCGAATAGTTCAATGCTATAGAGAGTATGTAACTATTATTTGTTAATATTTACTTCATAATGTCCATATCAAATTTGTAAAGTACTTATCTGAAGGGAAAAATTTGGATGAAAAGAGCAATGCAATCATCAGGCATAGTAACGAATGGAATACATACGTGTTTTAAGATCCAGTCAGAACCAGTCAGTGATGAAATCAAAACCAAAGTTTCACTTTAATATTATTTCATTAACATGAGATTCATCAGAATGATTCTATGTTATATTTAGAGAAACAAGATCGATAAATTCGAAATAAAAATGTCAACGAAAAAAGGAAATATTGTGCACTTTAGGTATTTCATTCGTATATCGCTTTGTTGAAAACACAACAAAGTAATATATCGCAGCTTTGATGTGTGATATTACAAGATGAACCCACTGAATGATGTTCACTGATGAATGTGTTCTGACACTGCAGGTATGTTGAGCAATCTTCTAACGTTATAAACCAAATCATATAATAGTCTAATGATAGTATCATAGGCAGAATAAGGCATTAAGAAACGAAAGTGCTCGTTCAAAAACTGACACGTCCTATGCTAAAATAAATTCATGTTGAAACATAAACGTCTCTCAAATTCAATTAACACGAGAGACACCTAAGCCATTTTTGAGATGAATTTATTGCTAAACTGTAAAAAAAAAAAATCCAAAGGTGATATCAACCATAAAAATACAATTAAAAGTACTTCATGCTCAAACATACGTCTTGATTGTAATGATATCTAATTCTCATTAATAATCAACTTGTC